GGGCCCAATCCTGGAGACCCGGGATCGAATCCCACATCAGGCTTCTGGTGCATGGAGCCTGCTTCTCCCTCTGCCTGTGTCTCTGCCTCTCTCTCTCTCTCTCTCTCTCTGTGTGACTATCATAAATAAATAAAAATTAAAAAAATTAAAAAATGTGTATATATCATATTGTATAACCTGAATATTGTAATTTTCCCTGTTTCCTAATTATAAGATATTCTGATTATTTTCCTTCCTTCCTTCCTTTTTTCCTCCCTTCCTTCCTTGCTTTTTTTTCCTATTGAAAATAACATGTTTGGCTATCCTAGCACATACATATTTTAATGTGTCTGAGTCTTTTATTAGTATAAATTCTTGGAAATGGAATTATTGAATCAAAAGATGTAAACCTTTTTAAGGCAGTTTTTGATGCATGTTGCCTAGATACATGTTTCTAGTCATCTAAAAAAAATTGTACAGCTTAAATTGCAGATAGGTTGGTTTATATTGCTTGATTAAAATCACTGTATCAGATTTTCCAGTCCATTTTTTTTTTCATTCAGGAGTTTTTGAGTGTTTACTGCTTTCCAGCACCATGGTAGGCTCTGGATGTATAAAGTTGAACCAGAAGCTATGGCTTCAGGGGTCCATGGGTTCTCTGAAATTATACACTTAGTTTTGTGTGGATGTGCAATTTTTGAGGGGCAAAGGAGATATTACTTTCTTTGGATTCTTAAAGGTATGTATAGCCCAAGGCAACTTAATACTGTCTGTGAATATATTGACCCTTTTAATCCTTAAGACAACTCTTGGAAGGAGATAGCATAGATAATTATCTCTGTTTTAAAGCTGAGGGATCTGAGGCTCATAGAGGTTAAATGACTTGCTTTTATTCACATAGCTAATAAATAGTAGAACCCAAACTAAAACTCAGGTTTCTGCCTATTTCTTTATAAATTTTTGTATAGTGACTTTATGAAAAACTGCCAACTACTTTTGAAGTGAAGTAGAGCATTTGTGATTTCCACCTTGGTAATGCTATCAAAAGAGAAGGCTAAAAACACTAGGCATGGTATGTTCTTAGAGAACTCAAATTATTACCACTATAATTTCACTTGTTTTTTTCATTGTTTTCACTATCCAGTTATTAGTCTGGAGTATTGTTGTGGATTGGTGACTCATTGGTAGGTAGTTTCCAGGATCTACTCTACTCTTGCTTTCTGGTTGAAAATCAGTATTAACAGTTGTCGTTATATACCTTTGGTTTTATTTTTCCCCCCCAGGTAATGTATTTACATTGGTGAAATCTTAATTGTATCCTCTTTAGAATTCATAGGTGTGTATTTCATCTGAGAAAGATACACCCTTTTATAATTTTAAAGCAGTGATTTACAGTGTTTTTTTCAGATCATTTTCTAGTTCTATAGAATGCTGAATAATGAATTGGTATATTCAGGCACATTACATTAGTTATCTTTAGAGCGGCTCACTCCTGAGAGAAGTGCTATTTTAGTTGAACAACCATACTCTTCAATTATTTGTGATGTTTGTATTTGCCCATATGCCTGCAAGAGGAATTTCATTAAAATATGATCAACCAAGGTCCTTTTTACAGCCTGCCATAAAGATAGGTTTTCCCTTTGACCATGTTTCTTTTTTTTTGTTGTTGAAGATTTTATTTATTTATTCATGAGAGACACAGACGAGACAGAGAGAGAGAGAGAGAGAGAGAGAGAGAGAGAGAGAGAGGCAGAGAGAGACACAGGCAGAGGGAGGAGCAGGCTCCACGCAGAGAGCCTGACGTGGGACTCGATCCCCGGTCCCCAGGATCAGGCCCTGGGCTGAAGGCGGTGCTAAACCGCTGAGCTACCCGGGCTGCCCTGACCATGTTTCTTTACTAGATTTTACATCAGTGAAAGATATTCTTCAAGACCTCTTTGTGAATCATTCTGAGATAACTCTGCTGAAGAATTTCATTTGTTTATATTGGCATTTTCTCATACACACACATGCATACATGCATGCATGTCCCCTAATCATACACAGGTGCTTGTATATGTGTATACTATAATATACTTTGTGTTTTCCTTTGCCAAATAAATGGGAAATCATGCTCTTAAAATTTGCTAAGTTTTTTTTATTTGTTTAGTGCCTGTTCTGTGCAGGGTACTGAAATAGGCATAACTGGGGGTAAAAAGGATGTAATCTATATAGACATAGGTCTCAAGGTCTGATGGTCTTTTTGAGGAGCTAAGACACTGGTATGAGGTTATGAGGTTTAAGTGGTATAGACCTAGGTACCATAGGGAGGTATGTAGAGAAAGCCATAGACTTTCAGAGAAAGGGAGAGGCTGTGGGGTTTGAGAGGTGTTGAGGGGTGCAGAATCAAGGATTACTCTGTGGAGGAGAGGGTAGTGGAATGGGAAATGTTTTAGGATGTACATTTGTGGTGGACTTTACAGCATAGGCAGAAAAAGCTCAGAGGCCGAGATGTGTGGGAACAGCAGGTAATTGAATTTGACTCGAGTAAAGGGAGAGAGGATGATGGATGGGCAAGAGAGCTGAACTACAGTACATACTGTGAGGAATCTTAAAAGCTTTATGCAGGTCAATGCCATATTGTATATCTCAGAATTTCATACATGTAACTACCACACTGTTAATGGTGATTGTCAGTGAATGTCTGATTTTAACAGCAAGAAGTTTGGTGGCTTTGCAGTATTTTGCTATGAGGTCTCCCATAGCCCTTTGTTGCTACTACCCAAGCCTGGATGTTTCTGTGGTTCTCTTTATCCCATGGTTGCTGTAGTTGCCTGCTGCCCTTTGTGCATTATCACACTCTGTGGAAATCCCATATGGGGACCTCTTGCTACGAGATCTAGCTTCTGCTGGAGGAACCCTTTATAGGCACTACATGGCCTCACTGTCCCTCCCTTCTCTGCTTAGCCTCAGTTTTTGCCATTTTGAAAATCCTAAATTCCTCACTCCCCAAAAGGGCCTTGATAGAAAGGAAATCTCTATGGGAGCCATTGTTGTTGGAGACAAGAAAGCAGTTATCTTCTATTTTGAGAGTATTTCTCTATCCCTCCTTTATGGGACTTCTGTGTTTTCCTGCCATCTTGAGTGTTGTGGTTTTGGGGTACCCACTCTGAGCTGACTTACAATAAGGGGAAGCTCTTCTCTTTTGTTGAGGATGGGGGAGACATGTTGCTAGTGTCTGGAGTTCTAACTCAGGTTGCTATTTCTCCTGGAAACCATAATATTGTAGCTGGCCAATAATTATGGTTCAGCTACAATTTATGTTTGAGAAGTTTTAATTAACATTTAAGAAATTTAATATTATTTCTTGGGGGAATTGTATTTCAAATTCTAAAAAACCAATAATACAGTACAGGAGAACTTAAACTTTTTTTGTGCTTTTTGTTGTTATAAAGATATCTCTCTATTTTTATTTATTTTTTATTTTATTTTATTTTTTAAAGATTTTATTCATTCATGGGAGACACACACACACACACAGAGAGAGAGAGAGAGAGAGAGAGAGAGAGGCAGAGACACAGGCAGAGGGAGAAGCAGGCTCCATGCAGGGAGCCCGACGTGGGACTCGATCCTGGGTCTCCAGGATCAGGCCCTGGGCCAAAGGCGGCGCTAAACCGCTGAGCCACTGGGGCTGCCCTAAAGATATCTCTTTTATTCTAATTGCCTAAGTAATATTCAAAAACAATTTAATAATTTCAGTGGACATCTAGAGTGTTTGTAGGTTTTTTGGGTTTTATTTGGAAACCAATGACCATAAGCACTTTTTCCCCCAGTTTTGTTGAGAAATAATGACATATATATATCACTGTATAAGCTTAAGGCATACAGCAGCATGATGGTTTGATTTCACATATTGTGAAAATTTGTGATTACCACAAATAGAAAGAAAAGAAGGGGGATGCCTGGGTGGCTCACATGGTTAAACATCTGCCTTCAGCTCAGGTCATGATTCCAGGGTCCTGGGATCTGGCTCCACAATGGGCTCTGCTCAGTGGGGAGCCTCCTCCCTCTCCTCCTCCTCCTCCTCTTCTTCCCGTCCCCCACCCCTTATCTCTCCTCCTCCCCTCTCCCTGCTGCTCTGCCTGCTGGTAATCTCTGTCTCTGTCTCTCATTCTCTGTCAAATAAATAAAACCAAAAAAAAAAAAAAAAGAGAAGAAAGAAGGAAGACAAGAAGTTCTTCCTTGTGATGAGAATTCTTAGGATTTACTCTTAAAGACCTTCCTATATATCATGTGGTAGTGTTAGCTATAGTCATCATGTTATACATTGCATGCCTAGTACTTATTTATAAGCACAGTTTGAAAGCACATTTTTGAAAGGTTTATAGGTCAGAGACCATCTGAACAATATTGTGGTAGCATATTTTTGAAAGCAGTCAAGAGTAAAAATGACTCATCTCTAGGGGGCCTTTGGGTAATTTATGAACAGTGACACCTGCTAGATAGAGGTTTGTATTTTAATCTTCCTAATTATGAATAGTCACTGGGATTCCTCAGAGAATCTCTGGCCTCTAGTCACTTGTATTTCCAAGAATGTTAAAATGAATGTTTATCTCAGAGGTCTTTTAGCTAGAAGTTGCTCTCTTGAGGATCATATTTTTAAGTTTTGTATATGTTCAATGAAAACTTTCTTACGTGTTTTAAGCTTTTTTAATTTTTGTTTTTTAAACCAAATTATTCATTTAAAGATTATTTTGTAAATGTTCTTATATAATTTTCTTTACAAAAAGGATAATTTCTTCGTGTAATGTGATAATCATTGAAAATGAAGATAGTTAAATTCTTTTATTTTGAATAAAATCTTAAAACATACATAAAAAAGGAAAGAATTATATACTGAACTCTCATATACTTATCACCCAGATTCAACTATTAATGAATACAGACTTTAACTTCAGGAAATGTTGACTTTTTCTTTTATTATTTTTCCTATAACTATTTTATAAACCAGTATGCTAATTTGCAATTTTTATCTTATGCAGAGGATGTGATGCCAGCCACTTACTGTGAAATTGACTTAGATAAAGAGAAGAGAGATGCATTTGTGTATGCTATCAAAAATCACTACTGGTACCAGATGTACATAGATGACTTACCAATATGGGGTAGGTATTGTATGTTATATTTAAAGTTTGGGAATATTTGCATAATAAGCATGACTTATGTAATGACTTTTAAGGTGATTTGATTGTACACTGAATCAGTTAATATGTTTTCCACAGAATGATTTTAATACCAATTTTATGGTCCCCTGTTACTTGAAGCAGTTTTAACGTTGCAAACCTTATATGAAACTCCCTAAAATATAACTTTTCAAAGAATTCGAAGAATTAAAAGGTATTTTGAATAATTTGGAATATCCTCCCTGTCCCCATTTTTCTCATATCTTATTTTGGGTTATTCTATCAAATACAATCAAAGGAACTAAATAGTATTTTGGCGTTTTATTTTGGCTTTCTTTCATGTGGAACTGATAGTATGGTTTTTAGATAACACAGCCTCTTGAATTACTTGTTTCACTTGTTCCTATGTTATTTTCCAAAACAGCATATGTTTAAAAAATTTTTTTAAATATTTTTATTTTTAAATAATTTCTACATCCAGCAAGGGGTCAGACTTAACAACCCCAGCATCTAGAGTCATGTGCTCTACTGACTGAGTCATTCAGGCATCCCTAGAAATTTTTAATGTTTTAGCTCTTATCTCTATTAATGGAGAAGAGCTATGGCTTAGCCAGTACAAACCTATGCAGAATCCAAATTTGGGGCGCCTGGATGGTTCAGTGGTTGAGTATCCGCCTTTGGCCCAGGGCATGATCCTGGAGTTCCAGGATCAAGTCCCACATCAGGCTTCCTGCATGGAGCCTGCTTCTCCCTCTGTTTATGTCTCTGCCTCTCTCTGTGCAGAGACACATTATTCTCTGCAGTAATCATTATACTCTCATGAATAAATAAATAAAATCTTTATTTAAAAAAATTTTTTAATATAAACAGAATCTTAAAAAAAATCCAAACTTTGTGTGGACTTGATTAAATTATTTTAGTTGTTTTTTTTAAAGGATATATTTACATGTAGCTTGCAGGAGAACAATATTACATGAAGGAATTCACATCTATATACTGTTGAAGTGAGTTAGTGTATAGCACATCAGTATAAAATAAGTGAATATTCTAAAGAGGGGGAAGAAACCTGAGTAGTTGTGTACTTATTGCAACTGGCAGGGCATTTGGGACCACAGCTGCTCTTAGTCCTTTTGTATCTCATATGGGTAACAGCTTGCAAGGCACAGAGCTCTGCCAGATGTGTACTAATGACTGGGTAGGGAGAGTCCCATAGCTGGTTTGGCTGCATGAAGATGGTGAACTTGTTAGGAATCTGATTAAATTATTTTAGATGCAAAGCACAGCCAACTATCATTGCCAGCATGTTTGATCATATTATTCTCTTAGGTTTTTTTTTCCCCTCCCTTTGGACACCTGTTCTTATATATAATGAATATTCTAATTCTTAAAATTGTTAGCAGACTACTATATTTGTGAGCAGCAAACCGAAATAATGAACATATCAGATCAGAGTTTAATGTAGTACTAAGATGAAATTTTTAAGAAAGTCAATCTCAAGATATAATTGTATGCATCACTGCTACTCTGTTGCATGTTAATTAGGTGTAGATAGTAGGCATTTCATATAAATGACTATAATTAGTATTACATTAACACAGACATTTTTGTGATCAGTTCTGAGGGTAACAAGAAGATGTGCTGAATATTCACTCAAGATTTCTGAGCCTGTAGTTCAGGAGAACCCATTAGTTAAGGTTTCTTCTTTTTTTGGTGAGAAAGCAGTTTTCTCTCATGTTCTTTTCTTTTTTTTTTTTTTAATTTTTTTTATTTATTTATGATAGTCACAGAGAGAGAGAGAGACAGAGACACAGGCAGAGGGAGAAGCAGGCTCCATGCACCGGGAGCCCGACGTGGGATTCGATCCCGGGTCTCCAGGATCACGCCCTGGGCCAAAGGCAGGCGCCAAACCGCTGCGCCACCCAGGGATCCCTCTCATGTTCTTTTCCATTGCTTTTGGGTTTCTTGTCTGGAACCTTATTAGTCTTTTTTCAGTCATTTCTATGGGTCAACATGGCAACTGTGCTTTCCTGCCCTAAAATAAATCTTTTATAGCCGTAGGATTCTAGGGTCTACCATGTTTAGGACAGTACATTTGGATGTCCAAGAATGTCTGAACTATGGGAATTCTCGTCAGAAAAAAATTCTTATTTGACCTTTTTTGAGGTAAATGTTTCCGTATCTTTTAAAAGTCCATTAGAAAATAGCTTCTTATTTGATGTAATTGTGTCTTTACCCCCAGAATTTTCATTGTAGATAGGTAAATAAACCTTGATGGAATTAGTTATCAGAAGAATTTCATTATCTCTCTGCAATCCCAAACACAATGAAACTGTATTCCTTGAATTTGTATCAGTTTGAGAGAACTTTGGTTAATAAGCAAATAATCCTTAATAAGAAATGATCTTTTTTTTCCCTCCAATACTTTAATGAGATGCATTGACCATAGAGGGAAGGCCCTAAAAAGTCACTTTTAGTATAAAGGCTCTTGGGAAATATATAGGTTTGGGTAGGGAGCATCAGATAAGTAGCTGTCAGTATGAGGGCATAAGAGTAGATCCTCAGGTACCACCTGTTGTCCTGACACTGTTTGGGTCTTCTTTCAGTGCCTCAGATTGGGAACAAAATGATCATCTTAGGGTACCTGGGTGGCTCAGTTGATTAAGTGTCTGCCTGTGCTCAGGTTATGATCCCAGGATCCCACCTAAGCCCTGTATTAGACTCCCTGCTCCTCCCTCTCACCAACCCCTCCATGCTCACTCGCTCTCATATGAATAATTAAAAATCTTAAGAAAAAACCCAAAACAGGGGATCCCTGGGTGGCGCAGCGGTTTGGCGCCTGCCTTTGGCCCAGGACGCGATCCTGGAGACCCGGGATCGAATCCCACATCAGGCTCCCGGTGCATGGAGCCTGCTTCTCCCTCTGCCTATGTCTCTGCCTCTCTCTCTCTGTGTGTGTGTGTGTGAGACTATCATAAATAAAAATTAAAAAAAAATAAATAAAAAAAAAAAATAAAAACTGACAAATTATTAAAAAAAAAAAAAAGAAAAAACCCAAAACAAAATGATCATTTTAAACTAGTGCCTCATTAACATTTATTTTCAATATTCCTTTCGTTTTGATGTTTTCCCAAGGATAGGTCCAGTACTTGAATCATAAGGAGCAGGCATTTTAAGTTCTGGTACCGGTACACATATGTGCAGCTTGCTTAGGAATGTGTAGATCTTAGGTTATTAGAGAAAGTATTGGACTGGGCCTCTGGAGACTTTGGGTTTTGATTTTAGTTTGACCAGTACTAACTGAATGACTGTGCCAGATGGTGACCGTACTTCCCTGAAATTTTCAGGTATTAGGAAGAATACACACATAAGGTGATAATTATTACAATGAAGGTGAAACTCATGAGAAAACATGAACTTTGAGGATCGAATTAGCGATAGATTATGCTGAGCTGTTCATGGTGTGAGCATGGTTTATGTTTGCCAAGTAGTTAAAGAGTCCAGCCTATACTTTTGCTCTTTTCTAACCATAAATAATAATAATAATATTGCTTGTTTATAAATTTATTTATTTATTTTTATTTTTTTGTATATTTTTTTATTGGAGTTAGATTTGCCAACATATAGTGTAACACCCAGTGCTCATCCCATCAAGTGCCCCCCTCAGTGCCCATCACCCATTCACCCCCTCTCCTCACCCACCTCCCCTTCCACTATCCTTTGTATAAAAACTTTTTAATGGGCTTTTAGCTTCTACCATATTTTGAACATGAAGTGATATTACCTTGTATAAAGTGTTACTTGTTTTTAGGTATTGTTGGCGAAGCCGATGAAAATGGAGAAGATTACTATCTTTGGACCTACAAAAAACTCGAAATAGGTTTTAATGGAAATCGAATTGTTGATGTTAATCTAACTAGTGAAGGAAAGGTGAAACTCGTTCCCAATACTAAAATCCAGATGTCATATTCAGTAAGTATTTAAAATAATTGTATATAGAAGAAGTATTTGTGACCTAATAGCAAAAATTAAGTGTTTTTTTTTTATTAAATGAAAATAGGGTGCAACAGAATATTATTAAAACTGTATTTCCTTAATGTAAGTAAACCTCCTAAAAGCAGGGAGATTTGCTTCAGGTCTGTATTAGATACAGTTATGCATTTGCAAGACTTACCATTGGCTACAGCAAAGTTAGCCATTATAACTGAGCAATTAGAGCTAAGCCAACCATGTATTTTCATGGGTTCATTTTTAGATTGCAGTATACCTTGTTGCTTCTCTTTCCTTTTTTCTATTGCAGATAGAGATGATGCTGTATTGAAAATTGCTGGATGGGTATAGTTTATTATTACCATGTTTTGCTTTTTATCAGTTGGAATAAGATACTCTTGTAGAGTTAAGAGCTTGTCAGAGCTCTTTGAAACTGTCAAGTTAATTCTGTTCCATTAGGATTAAAAATAGTGGAAAGAAGAAAAATCTGTAGGTAGCCTCTCTCTCTGTCAGTTTTTTCCCTGATAAACAGAATGAGTCCATTGCTAGTAGCCAGTTTTTGAAAGTTTTTTTTAAGCTTATGCATATATATCTAGTGCAAATGATATTTACTTAACTGAACTTATAACGAAGTTTGATTATTGTAATAAAACTAATATAATCTAAAGTCAAAGATGGACGGGTTCTTACTCTAATTTGCCTAGGGCAATTCAGTTCTTTCCACAGTTATCAGGTAAGAGTATATAAGTCAGGAATAGTTAATAGTCCTTGAAAACTGAAATGATTCCTCTAAGTAAAGTTGAAAGTTTTGTTAATATACAGAGAGGAAAATTGGTTACGTTTTTATCGTATGTGTTTCAGCTTCTCAAGTTGGCAATAACTTATCACCATTTCTCTAGCTTCTCATTCTAAGTGTGTAAATCTTTTCTAATTTCGCTCAGAGTTTTGTTATTAGCTTATTAATTAGTTTACTGGCCTTTATTTTTAAGTGAAAAGTTTTTTTTTTTAAGGTGAAATGGAAAAAATCAGATGTGAAATTTGAAGATCGATTTGACAAATATCTTGATCCATCCTTTTTTCAACACAGGGTAGGTAAATTGTGTATTTGAAGACATTCATTTTCTGCTTAGTCAGTTAAAAAACAGCATCTGCCATATGCAGGGCACTGTGTGAAGGCTGGGGAGTTAAAAAATTGGGCTAGTGGTGATTTCACATATGAGCTTAGAGTGCTAGGGTCATAGAAAGTTTTAGAGGAGCAGTCAAAAGCCCCCTCGTCATGCCAGTGCTTTAAACTGATTTTGAGTGACACGAGGAAAGATATAACAAACCAAAAGGCAGAATATCATTTTTATTATTAATGAGGCCAATATTGAAAAATGTGATGTATCTGTGGACAGGTGGGCTTCTTAATATTGAAACTCAGAATTAGACCGACTTCTTGCACTCAGTGCTGGAGTATTTCAAGCTTCTGTGTATGAGCACTTGCCCTTGGGAAACTTAACGTGTGGAGAAACAGAGCAGAATGTGTACATCCTTTAGCTAGGAAGGGATGAGAATGGAGTGAAATCAGAAACTTACTGGTAGAACATCAAGACTGGGAAGAAATGTCCCCACTCCCCACCAGCAGATACAAGATAGAGCTCAGCAGATACAAGATAGAGCATTGTTGCTGATTTTGTACAGGTGATAGCTTTGTTTTTTTTTTATAGGAAAAAATAGGTTTTATTTTAATGTTTCCCTCCTTCAAGGATGGAGTTGAAAGGACAACAGGGCATAAAGGATGTATATATTCATCTGACTTTCTTCCTGGTCTCTTCTGTCTTTTGATCTTATCTTTTAGACTGGAATTCTGAGGTAATCTAAGTTTTTGTGGTCTAAAATTTGTATCATTGCTGTCAGACTTCACCAGAACCTGTCACTACTTTTGATCTTCTCTGGGTCATATTACTCCTGGAGCCAAAATTTCCTCCCTAGCCTCTACTTTCCCTACACCCAGTGTGTTCTTTTTAGATGTAGTGTTCACGCAGTCTTGTACATGGTTGAGGGATAGGCACAAATAACTTAGAGAATATTCAAAAATACGAGGTCTCTCAGCTGACACTTCCTAGTGGAACACCTGAGCCTGCCTTGTTTCTCGTGCCATTGGTTATTGATAACTTGGGGAAAGGCTGCCATTTGGCATTTCACTAGTAGAGCAATGTACCATATTTCTCCTTTCAGCCGTTACTAGTTGAACACCTGCTAGGTGTCAAGCAAAAGTCAAAGATCTGTGCCCTGTTGGAGCTTACCCTTCTGGTAAGGGGAGACATGTAATAGACATAGTAAGTTAAGGGTATGGTGTGTTCAAAGATACGTCCAAGAAGAAAAAGCAGTGGAGCAAGAGTGCCACAGGCGAGGCTAGTTGCAATTTGAATATGGTGCTCAGGATAAGTCTCTGAGATGGACTTTTGGGTAAAAACTTGAAGGAATTGATGGAAATAAGGAATATGGATATATGGGGGGGGGGTGAGGAAGAGTATTCCAGTCAGGGGCAACACTTTTGAAAAGCCTGTTTGGTGGGAATGTGTTCAGTGTGCTTGAGGAATAGCCAGGAGGCCAGGTGGCTGGTGCAGAATAAGGGGAGGAGTAGTAGATGAAGTCAGAAAGTAGCAGGAGCCAGATCACCCATGGCTGCTGTGGAGACTTTGAATTGCAAAGAAGGGGTATGGTAGTGTTTTCATGGGGTAATGACAAATCTGACTTCTGTTTTAAAAGGATCATTCAAGTTATTCTGTTGAAAAGAGGCCATGTGGGGGAAGGGGAGAAGCAGGGAGACAAGAGGGTATTGCAGCAATGCAGTGAGAATTTGAAGATGGCTCAGACCAAGGTGTAGGGGGGCAGCTGGTGAGAAGGTGTCAGATTGTGAGCATATTGTGAAGGAGAGAGCCAGTTGGATATCCTGATGAATGGGAAGATAAAGAAAGATTGACAAGAACTCTATGGTTTTCAGCCTAAGCAACTGTTGGATGAAGCTGCCATTGCTGGGACAGAAAGTGTATTTGGAGGTGTGGAGGGGAAGATTAGAGTAGAGTTTGGGACCTGTTGGTTTTGAAGTGTCATAAGACATCTGAATGGAGATACTTAACCATCTAGTTCAGTATATCAGTCTGGGGTTCAGGAGAAAAGTCTGGGCTAGAGATACAGATTTTGCATATAGATGGTATGTAATTTGATGTAATTACCAAGGAAGAGTATGTAAAAATAGAAGAGGACCAAAGACTGAGCCCTGGGGGCAATAAGAAAAGATTAGGGGGAGTAGGAGAAACCAGCTTTAAGGTTCTAAGGAGATACCAGTAAGGTAGGGAGGAAATGCTTGTGTGGTAAGCCAAACAAAGAAAGTGTATCATGGAGGAGAGAGCTTAGTTCTGGATTGTTGCTGCTGGGTCAGTCAGGTGAAAGTGTTGGATTCATTTGGAGTCATTGATAAACTTAACAAGAGAAGTTTTGGAGTAGTGGTGGGGCAGAGTCTGAACAGAGTTGGCATAAGAGCATGGAGGAGAGGAATTGGAGGCTGCAAGTCTGGCAGCTTAACGGAGAAAGAAATGGTGTATTCAGTAGGAAGAATGGAGTCAGATTTTTATTTTGAGATGTAAGAAAGATGTTTATATGTGGATGGGTTCAACAGCAAGTGCAAAACTGACAGTGTAGCAAAGAGGGAAGAGAAATACTGCAGCATGTTCCTTAAATAGGCAGGTAGGGTCTACTGTATAACAATAGGGATTATTTCTAATGCAGTGACTCTAAACCCAGGTTTAAGAACTTGAGCTGGACATGTTACTCTGTCTCTGCCACCAACCATAACTGTGGTCACATTACTCAGCTCCTCAGCTTCTGTCTCTTCAGTAGTGAAGCAGGGATTGTAATACTGTGCAGTGTTGTGACAGTCCATTTGATAGTGCTCTATAAAGCACTTAGGTCAGTGTTTGACACATAGAGGTGCTTAGTAAGTGGCACCCCTCTGGTTGTAAATTTCTCTCCAGTGTTCTAAAATTTGTGATGAGCCTGCAGTGCTGCTTTACGGTTAGCAACACTAGGGGGTGCTCGAGTCAGCAGTTCATAGGATTAGTAACCCCTTTGTGACATCTGGTTCTTTATTATTTTTAAGAAATATTTCCTTTGCTATAATAATTTCAAAATCATAACAGCATTTTGTGATTTTTGGAAATAAAAGGATATTATAAAATGTCAGGTTAATGGTAGTGCATATAATGGATATGGGTTTAAAGTTTATATCTTAAAAAAAAATAAAGTTTATATCTTAGAAAACAGCAGGGAGCTTTGATAGAAAGTTTTGCATTTTAGGTGGATCTTTCTTCCTACTAAATAGTAACTATGTAAAACTTCTTTTCTCTTCAAAAATTTGATAAATCAACAGAAGTTATGAAACATACGTATTTTTTCTCTTGTCCTTTTTTGGGTCATTAATTTCTCAGGGTGGGAACAAAATCAAATCTTTGGAAAAGTCTGTGTTTATAATTATAGACTGCTTTTATAAATCTTGAATGATACTTCAATGGTAAACTTAAATCTTCTATAACCCTTTTGCAAATATTGCAAAATGCATTCATTATTTTCTTTGTAATTTCAGTAGGTATTCAATAAATAAATTATGAAATGAAGGGAAAAAATGATTTTATGAAGATGTAGAGGCAATTGTTTTTCAGGGAGAGCCACAGAGTTTGTCCCTTGCCTGAAGCCTCAGGGTGGGTAATAGCCAGGACTGCCCCTCATCCTAGTAGTGGACATACCTAGCACATTAGCCCAGGTTAAAATCTGTCCTAATTCTACAAGACAGTACATCCTTCATGTATGTAGCTGTAGAAGTTCAGAGCAGGAGTGCATCTGTAAATAATGGAATACATAGATGAGAGGTTTTATGGAGGAGAGAGAAGGTTTTCGATTTGGGCTTTAAATAGTAGATGGAATTTATAGAGGTAGATAGTAGATCCCATGTGAAAGAAATTATGAGAAGGATGCTGGTAGAAATGGGAGTGCTGTACTTGTGGGTCACTGAAGAAGGAAAGCCCTACTGGAATATAGGCAACAGTGGAAAGAAAGGTTGGCTAGATAAGGTGAAGTAGCCATATCACAGAGGGTACAGAATATTAGGGAAAATAGTTTAGATTTGATATGTGAAAAAAATAAGGAATGTCGCTATAAGTTTTAGAATAGAGAAGTGATCTATGAACATGTTTCAGAAAGATTTGTGGGTAACTTTTATATAAGCTAGATAGGAAGGAAGGACAGGGACTGAAAATAAAGAAGGCTAAGTAGGAGGCTGTTAAGGCTGCCTCAGGGTGTGAGGTGATGATGTGGGAGTGGAGGGGATGGGATTGATAGAAACCTATTGAAGGAAAACAAAAGCTTAGTAATTATTAAATAGGAAGGATTAAGGAGAAGGAAGAGCCAGAGAGAATTCTAAATTTTCAAAGCCAAATGTTAGTACCATTAGCAGCAATTAGAAATCAGGAAAGTGTTATATGTGAGGCAGAAGATGATGAGTTTACTTTAGAGCGGTCTAAGTCTGAAATTCCAGAAAGACATTCAAGTGGAAACAATCATACTTAGCACAAGTGTGAAACATGAATGAGCAAGAGGGCTAGAGATTTGGAGCAGGACAGGGGTTGGGGGTTGAGTGTGTAGAAGATGTTCCATCATCAGTGGAACACTAGTTAGAAGTTCTGAGTCTGAAGAAGTCACCATAGAGGACCTAGATTGGCACTTTTGGAAAAGTTCACACAGGGTGGGAGGAGAAGGCATCGAAGATGAAAGAGAAGCAACAGCCTGTCGCACAGGATGGTGTAGTGGCGGTAGAGGTCAGATGTGGCAGGAGAGCAAGGACGATGGGCAGATAATTGACTGCTGAATCAGTTTAAAAGTTCATTGCAGGCCTTTGGGAGAAAATGTGTGGGGCAAAGTGAGATTGTATCATTTTTAGGAGTAAGTAGGGGAAGAAGTAGAAGGTATTGTTTCCTCATTTGAAAAGTATTGGCATTGAAAGGAGGGAGATAAGAAAATAGGAAGAATAAGGGGATAAAAGATCATGCAAACACTTTAAAAGATATTAATAAAAATGACTTATAAGTTTTTTTTTTAGTGTTTTACCATGAGCTAGGCACTAAGCCATATGCTTTACATTTATTACCTTATTTGAGCTATATAACTACCCCAGGGAGCAGATAGTGTTGTAGATGGGGCCTTTTGGTGATAGCTGATGCCGAAGAAAGGTACGAATTTAGGGGTGCAGAGTGAGAGGGGGAAAGCACCTCAAGGAATGAAAGAGATGTAGACCCTAGTTGAAAGATTGATTTAAAAGGGGAACAACTGGGGCACCTGGGTGGCTCATTGGTTGAGCGTCTGCCTTTGTCTCAGGTCATGATTCCGGGGTCTCAGGGTTGAGTCCCGCATCAGGCTCCCTGCAGTGAGTCTGCTTCTGCCTCTGCCTATGTCTCTGCCTCTCTTTCTTTGTCTCTCATGAATAAATAAATAAAACCTTAAAAAAAAAAAGAGGGGAATAACTTCTAGGAGATTGACAGAAAGAATGAAAGGCTAGGAAGAAAATGCAGAAAAATAAATGAAATTGGGGCCTTGGTTAGAGAAGAGAAATTTTGGAACTATCCTTCAGGAACGTTTGGGAATTAAAATATAAAGAAATTTGAAGTCCGATGCACTGAGTTCTGCCCTCAGAGATACAGTGTGCTTACTTTGTGATTATAAATCAGAATCTGGACATAATTCTGCGACATACGTGTGAGTGAAATCAAAGTCAAAAGCCTTGGGAACATTGGGACACGGTGGGGTACCTCATTGTTCTTTGTACCATAGATAACTCATTTAGAAGGGAGTGAATAAGGATGTTGGCAGGATGGAGAGGATGAACTGGAAGCAAGTGAAGCATATCATTTCTGGAGGGTAGCCTACATCCATGACAGTCAACCATGATGGTTCAGTCTTTTGTATTTTAAGGAGGATTTTAGGTTGTTGCTCAGTTAGAGGGAAGGGAACTAACATTTATTGAATATTTGCTGCTCTGTGCCAGACATGGTATCATACTTTTTATACATGTTCATAAGTCATACAGATCAGGATAGTATTATTACCTTCCTTTCTGTTATAAGAAAGCTTGGGTCGCATAGCTAGAATTTGATAGATTTTGGGTTAAAACCCAGGCGTGTTTGACTCCAGATCCCGTGTTTTTTCTGTGTAATGCCAAAGCTGTACTTTTTATTTGTACAGTAAAATTGATTATGAAAATCTACATATACAGTATCATGTTTTTAATGTATCTGAAGTTTACCGTGAAGAAAACCAGTCTCTTTGCATAGTGAATACTCACCCCAGTGTGTCTTAAGTTTGGATTTTTATGTAAAAGTTTTAAATAACTTTTTTTTTTTTTGCACTACCATGCTGTTGTCATCATGAAACGTGTGAATTTTGTGACTGATACTTAATGTTGGTAATATTTTATTTTCTGTTATTTTAGATTCATTGGTTTTCAATTTTCAATTCTTTCATGATGGTTATCTTCTTGGTGGGCTTAGTTTCAATGATCTTAATGAGAACTCTAAGAAAAGATTATGCCCGGTACAGTAAAGAAGAAGAAATGGATGATATGGTAAGCAAACATTTTATGTTTATAAAAATGATTTAACTCGGTGTTATTTTGAATGTTGGAATGTAGGTCACATGAGTTTCAGAATTCAGAATTTTCTGGTTTTTGAAAGGTGTAAAACTCCCTGAGGGGTCTCTACTCAAATATATTAATGTTTTTACCTGCTGTGATTACATGCCCCATAATCTAATACATTAGTGTTTTTACATGCTCTGATTACCTGCTCCATAATCAGGTGTATTAATGTTTTTTTCAGCAAAACATATGAATGTTCACCTTAAATGAGATAAACAGTACAAATAGCCTCTTCTTCACGCTTAAGTTTTGCACCAAATAAGAATGTGTCAGACTTCCGAAACAAACTTTGTTTTCAGAGCTTTTGATCGAGAACTTCAGCAACGAAGTTCTAGACCTGTATTGACATTTTTCTAATACTGTTAAATACTGCATAAAAAAAGGTTTAATTTAGTTTAGTTGGTTCAGAGGGGACGTTTGTTTTCTAAATTCTTTTATTGTATTAAGCAACAATGTTGTTAATGAGCAAAAGTGTGTTCTATAGAATATTAATGGCTATTCTCTATAGATATACTCCATCATTAAGTCAGTTTGGAAAAGAGTTAAACAGATTAAAATTTAATATGCTAATGTGCATTGTGAAGTATCACAGATTAGATAAAATATTTGGTGCTTCTCAAACATATCTGACCAGGATCCCCCCCAACCCCTAAAAAGCCAGATTATCTTAAGGGACTGATATTTCTTAAGAACTACTGTTTTAGATACTTGTTATTCAGGTTGAAAAGGAAAAATTGCATCCTTTTTAAAAAGTGGTATAGACAGTTAAATAATATTTAATAAGTAGCATTTAACCATTTGATATTTTCCTTATATATTTTCTTATATTCTAAGCTGTAAAGGACATTTCTGCATTTTAAGGCATCTAGGACTGGTTTTAATCTTTTTTCTCTCTTTGTTCTTCACCCGGCCCCTCATTATCTATGCGCCACAGGTGTGATGTAAATGGCAAGAATAGCAATGTTCAGAGAGCCAGTGTGCTCTTCTCTCATTTTGACCATTTCTTTTATTTTTCCATTCATTGGTATTCTCAGCATAACTGGGAGCTACCTTCCTGAACCTTATTAGTAAATGCCATTTATATTGTAACTTTAGCATTATAAATATTTTTAAAGATTTTATTTATTCATGAGAGACACAGAGAGAGAGGCAGGGACATAGGCAGAGGGAGAAGTAGGCTCCCTGCGGGAGCCCAGTGCAGAACTCAATCCCAGGATCCTGGGATCATGACCTGAGCCAAAGGCAGATGCTCAACCACTGAGCCATTCAGGCATCCCTAACATTATAAATTATTAAGGTAGTGATTATTTTAAATTTGAAATGTCTTCTAGATATTTTGAACCCCTTTTAAATAGCTACAAGTCTGGAGGGAGAGAACTTGTAACTGGAATTGTAATTTTTCACCTACTTTATGTATTTTAATTTCATTCCGTATGATTTTCTTTTCTCTCTAATTATATGTATATAGGATAGAGACCTAGGAGATGAGTATGGATGGAAGCAGGTGCATGGAGATGTATTTAGACCATCAAGTCACCCACTGATATTTTCTTCTCTCATTGGTTCTGGATGTCAGATATTTGCTGTGTCTCTTATAGTTATTATTGTGGCAATGATAGAAGATTTATATACAGAGTAAGTACATGTATTTAACTTTGTTTTTACTTGTTCTTAAACATTTTAAGTCAGTCATAATTCAATTTGCTTATTTCACTTGCCTTAGAATTTAAATAACATAAATGTTATTATTGCAGGTAAATTAAATAATGGACAGTAATCCTTAGCTAGAAGTATATTTTTCTGTTCCATGCTAAAACTTACTAGCCTTACTGAACATTTTGGTTGGCTACAAAGTTTATGTTCCGTTAGAGGTATGAGCAGAGTTACTTACTTACAAGTGCTGTTTGACAAAATGAATAGGCATTTTTTGAAAGCTGAAGATCCAGTTTCATCTTTATAATTTGCTCTGCTATGGAAATGAAAATAGAGATAATAAAAATACGTAGTGAGAAAATGAAAAACCCTGTACATGACATTAAGACCCGCTCCATAGTCGGAATGATTATAAAACATAAAAGGCAAGTAATGTAACACATGAACATTATTTTGTGTTGGTGATGACCATAGCATTCAGTAAAGAAAAAATATTTAGAGAATCAGTATCAGTGTGGATGCCTGTGAGTGAGATATTAACTCCTGAGAAGGCATAGTATGAGAGAAGCTGTAGGTAAGTCTGGAAAAATACTGCTGCTCTGTAACTTTGGGTGGACAGTGATGAGTTGATAAATATAAGCAACTCCTTAAATGTCTGTCACCTCAAGTTTCAGAGAGAGGAACCAGGAGGCCAGTTCCCTATGTCAGCAGATCTTTCAGTGTAGTTGAAGATGGTGTGTTTTGGGTGGGAAATGTCCATAGAATATTTATGAACAAACAGATGAAGGGTATATCTGATTTTTAAAACTGTGACTGATACTTCATTTAACGTAAAGCCTCTGAGAATTGCAAGCTTAAATCCCTGGTAGGCATTTTGGACTCTGTCATGTGAGCAATCCTTTTGAACCCTCTCTACTTAGAAGCTTCTGACTGGTAATAGACTGGTGTTAGACTAAAGCAGCCTTTCAGTTTTCAGCACGGGTAGGCATGTGTCAATCTTCACATAACCCAGTTATAGAGAATGATTAGATTTTTTAATGATAATCTTAAAGGGAGAAGTTAGTACTTGGAGTGTTTACTTGAGTTGTTGAAAAAACAAATTTTGATTTAAAAAACTTTGAGACCCACAATCCTTTAATTTTTTTTTTTTAAAGTAAGCTCTAACCAGTGTGGGGCTCAAACTCATGACCCTCAGATCCAGAGTCCCCTGTTCTAGTGACTGAGTCAGCTAATTGCCCTGAGACCCACTATCTTTGAAACTTGGGAATGACATGTTTATTACTACCACATTTATATTTACCTATGTATTGATGGAAATTGAATACTGTAATTTTTATTCATTTCATCTACTTTAAGAAGTTGAACATAGGTGCTTAGGCAGAGGAGTGCTACATATTTAAGACTATATGATATCTTTGATTCTACATATGTGTACAGTGAAATATAATAATTACCTGGAAGGCGGTTAATTTATGAAAATTGCATATCTCCCTAGTACACACATTAGTGTGATATTCTTTTTTTTTTTTTTTAATTTTTTTTTTAATTTATGATAGTCACACACAGATAGAGAGAGAGAGGCAGAGACACAGGCAGAGGGAGAAGCAGGCTCCATGCACCAGGAGCCCAACGTGGGATTCGATCCCGGGTCTCCAGGATCGCGCCCTGGGCCAAAGGCAGGCGCCAAACCGCTGCGCCACCCAGGGATCCCTAGTGTGATATTCTTATAAATTCTCTTGAAGTGAATATTCCTTAACTCAAACAGAGAAGGTTATGTGTTCTATACAGACTTTATTTTACCTTCCTAGTTATGGTAAATTTCAAAATAGTGTATATTGTTAGTGGTTTAAGTACATTTCTGTATTACGGCAAAAGATAGTATCTTTTATCATCTTAATATTTCTCTTTGCAGCTAGGCATTTAAAATATTTTGTTCAGCGACACCTGGGTGGCTCAGTGGTTGGGTGTCTGCCTTTGGTTCAGGGCGTGATCCTGGAGCTCGGGATCGAGTCCCACATCGGGCTCCCTGCATGGAGCCTGCTTCTCCCTCTGCCTATGTCTCTGCCTCTCTCTCTGTGTGTCTCTCATGAATAAATAAATAAAATCTTAAAAAAAAATATTTTGTTCAGCTTTATTCAACAGGAGAGCTGGTCTGAATTCTCTAGATATTATTAGTGGAAGAAGAGATTAGAAATTGTTGATCTGTTGGGTGCCTGTGTGGCTCAGTTGGTTACACGTCTACCTTTGATTTCAGCTCAGGTCATGATCTCAGGGTCATGAGATGGAGCCCCACATCCAGCTTTGTCCTGGGTATGGAGCCTGCTTATAATTTTCTCTCTCCCTCTGCCTCTGCCCCTCCCCTCCCTTCTCTCTTCCTCTCTTAAAAATAAAAAAAAGAAAAATTGTTAATTCAGGTTAATGTTGATTTGTGGACAAATCAACAAAACTCAAACCCACATAACTCATTACAAAAATTATACTTTATGGATTTTTAAAAAATAATTTTTGTAATAGTATAAGGAAAACGAAATAGGAAAGGTTTCAGTATTATACCATTTAAAGTAATAGCTCTAATATAGATTATATTACTTCCATTTTATTTTTTATTTCTATCAGTGGCCAAGAACTTAAGCAATTAAATTATAAAGAGGAATATTCTAATTATTTTTCTTAACACATGAATATCCTTATCCATATGATGTGATCGGTTACAGGGTTGCAAAACAATTTGAGTGCCAGCTTCTAATATTTTTGCCAAAGAAATGTGAAATATTTATTTAGAATATATTATGAAATTTAACTGCAGATTAAAAAAATTAGTATCAGCCTATACAGTTTTAACTAGAAATTTATTCACCAGGTAGTCTCTTGAGAGCCTTTATAGTCCAGGATGATATTTTTTGTGTTCTTGTTAAATTTATCTTTGAAATTCAACTAATGTTAATGTGATAGACTCTATGATATTTTCTTTAAATTGTTGGCTTTAACTTATCACATATGTTTCGCCTTTTTAGGAGGGGATCAATGCTCAGTACAGCCATATTTGTCTATGCTGCTACATCTCCAGTGAATGGTTATTTTGGAGGAAGTCTGTATGCCAGACAAGGAGGTAACTTAATAAGTTATGACTTCATATTTTTAATTATAGATTCTAATATTTTACTATGAGGTATTTGGAGTTTAAAATGGACAGTACAGCCATTGTAAAATACTTGGTTATTCTATTTCACATAATCTCCACCAGACCTGTATGTGGTCTATCTTGCTTTTATGTAATCCTTGCATTTTATTTCTGAAAATTATGAATAATTTTTTTTTTTTAATTTTTTTTTTTTTAATTTTTTTTTTTTTTATTTATTTATGATGTCACACAGAGAGAGAGAGAGAGAGAGAGGCAGAGACATAGGCAGAGGGAGAAGCAGGCTCCATGCACCGGGAGCCCGATGTGGGATTCGATCCCGGGTCTCCAGGATCGCGCCCTGGGCCAAAGGCAGGCGCCAAACCGCTGCGCCACCCAGGGATCCCTGAAAATTATGAATAATTAATGGATTATCTCCATTGTCCATTGTAAAGTTTGTCCTGAGGAACATACAGGAAAGTATATTTAAGTTATTAATATTACTTTGCTTTGAGGTACCTTACTCCTTAGATGTGCTCCACGGGAGGCCTCCACACACAGGCATTATAGCTGAATAAAAAGGCATGTTTTATGGCTTATGGATAAAGTGTCTGGACTGGAAAGAGAATAGGAAGGAGAGCTATTTATTTCTATTGATTCTTCAATATTTGTCAAAGTACCTTGCTCAGAGGTTCTCTTACTCTGTGTCACAATCTTTTGCTAAGAGCACTTCATCTTAAATACCCCCTTGCTTCTTTACTATTGTGATCTGAAATGATGGGGGATACATAGATGATACCAAGGTACTGCTCCTTGGTGTTTTTTTATGGCATTGGAGGGTCTTTAAGTTTTTTTGTTTTCCCTGTAATGGGGTAGAAAAGTACTAAATATTTCAATTAATGAATATGAATATTTCATATTTCAGTTTATGAATCAAGGGTTGTTGAAAGACCCTAAAATTATATTCTGAAAATACAGACTTTCTCATGTGATTTTTCCCAACTCATCCTAAGCAATGTCAGTGTTAAGGAATCCTGTCTTTTAGTCAACTAGACTTACAGATTATTGCACTCAGAGCATACATAGGATCATTAGGATTCCTCCAGGACATCCTGGTTTACTATTGCTTTTTTTATTGGTCCTACTAGACTGAAGGTCTTCTGTACCTTCAGTATAAACAATTCTTTGGATTGCCTGAAGGAATATTATTGTGGATTCCTAATTATTTTAGTTATTTGTTCAGTGTCTATATTTTACCTTCAGTATTATGGGAAACAAGTCTTCTACAGGGCCACCATCCTTAGGAAATTAGAATGCCTAAGTTAACTTCTGCTTTGAATTTAACTTGGAAACTAGTTAGGCTATGACCTCTAGAAAAGTCTCCACCGCAGAAACTATTTTTTTATTTATTTTTAAAGATTTTATTTATTTATTCATGAGAGACACAGAAAGAGAGAGAGGCAGAGAGACATAGGCAGAGGGAAAAGCAGGCTCCATGCAGGGAGCCCAATGCAGGATTCAATCCTGGGATGCCAGAACCACGGCCCAGGCTGAAGGCAGGCGCTAAACTGCTGAGCCACCCAGGGATCCCAGAAACAAATTATTTAAAACAGGAAATTTATTTATACTTGGACATAAATTTGCTTTTAGTTTGATTGCAAGTTAAGAATACCCAGCCAAACTTTACTAAACTCTTTTTTTTTTTTGAGAGAAAGAACTCACAGGTGGGGGGAGATGTTGGGAGGAGGGGCAGGGGGAGGAGAGAGAGAGAATCTTATGCAGGCTTCAGGCCCATTGCAAAGTGGGGCTCTGAGATCATGACCTAAGCTGAAATTAAGAGTTAGACACTTAACTGACTGAGCCACCCACGTGCCCTTAAAGATTATTTTCTGATTGACAGTGCCTTGGGAAAGTCTGCTCATGTCCTCATATTTTGTCTGAGCAATCCCTAAAAGCCAGGGTAATGTAAGAGGTCAACCAGAAAATCAAGAATTTTTCAGAGTTACCTCAGGATTTGAACTACAATGAAGCTCAAGGCCTGCACATTGTCTTCAGGTTATGGGTAATCCTCCAGATCTAATTTGAAGTTAGGGGTAGCCTGGAACTTGACCAAAATCTCCAAGGGTATGGTGAGCAGCAGGAGGCACAATGCAGAGCTTGCACTACTAATTGTATCCAGTGGAATGTGTGATTCTTTTCGACTGTTGGAGGGAAAAGGAGTAAATAGAATTGAACATAGAATTTATGAATACATGTCTGAATCTGAGAAGATAATAAAAAGCATAGGAAAAGAGAGTGCTAGGAAATAGAATTAAATAGGAAAAATAATATTACAGTTGCCACCTTTTTTTGTGGCAAAAAAAACTTTGAACTGAGAAAGAAATAAAATAGAGGTGAAAGTTGCAAATCAAGGAGTCTTTCTGTAGAAATGTCAAGATTTCGGATAGTAATTTTATGAGATCCATGTTTAAAAAGCACCTTACATAGAACAAAACAGAAGTTAGGGTATTGCTCCTTTTGCCTATTGCACTTCCTGTTTAGGTCTCTCTTCTGGTTGTGGGGTTGAATTTTAATAGTTATGCAGTTTGAAATCTGTATATTTTGTGTCTGAGCAATATGTAGATGTTTCCTTGGTACTGCTCTTGCTCATATACTCTGCTGTATTAGAAAATAGCTCTTTGTTGCTCTCCTGATCAGTATGAACATGATTTAGAATTTTTGGTTACATAGTTTAAAATTTACAGTTTCCTTTGATTATTTAAATAACAGATGATCACTGTACAGAATTTTGGCAATACAGAGAGATACAAAGATAGTGAAACTGGGGTGCCTGAGTGATTCTATCAGTTGACACTTGGTCTCAGCTCAAGTCTTGATCTCAGGGTTGTGAATTCAAGACCCAGATTTTTAAAAAGAAAGAAAGAAAAAAAAAAGGAAAGGAAGAAAATGAAATAGTGAAACTTTTAAGTCTGTAGTTCTAATTGATGAGAGAGAGCTCATGAGGTACACTCTGTTATTTTCTCTTTTGAAACAAATAGATTTAAATATATGTTTATAATCATAATTACAGCTAAAAGTAAATTTAGGGACAACTTACACCAGGGGGGTTTTATACTTTTTTTTTTTTTTTTAAAAAAAGCTTTCATGAAACTCCAGTGTGTAAAACTGTTGAAAATGGAGTTGTTCTGGTTGAAGCAGGGCTTGGGGCTCTTCCTTCACAATTGACTTCATGGGCACTTCTAGGAATGTCCCAAACTCCAAGTAATAGCTTGAAAACACCTATCTAGGCCAACTTGCAGCCTGGAAAGGTGAGTGACTTACCAAAGTTCACGGAGGCAGAACCAAAGTTCAAAGTGGCAGAATCGGGATAGAACATTGGACTATTTTACTATAGTCCATTGCTCCAGTATACCCACTTCAAAAGCTATGTTTTCACTAGACATACTGGACGGTCTTTATCAGGTATTGTCCTGAAACAATTATTACAATGTCACATTTTGAGATCTTTACATTAGAATTTTAAATAAATAATTTGGTACTAAATAAATAACAGTTTGGTACCTTACGAACATTAATATATATGCCCCACCCTGCTCTGATTTTCATTGGTTTCCTTTTTCTTTCAGGAAGGAGATGGATAAAGCAGATGTTTATTGGGGCATTTCTTATCCCAGCTATGGTGTGTGGCACTGCCTTCTTCATCAATTTTATAGCCATTTATTACCATGCTTCAAGAGCCATTCCTTTTGGGACAATGGTAAGTTGATTGAATCTTACTTTGAAACTGGAAAAATAATAAGCTTTCTAAGCTGAGGCCTGCTGTCTCTCTGAAGTACCTCTTTCTTAGTAAGAGGTTTGGTATTTGCAGTCAGTCCCTGTCCAGTCCTAGATAGTTAAGTGAAAAAAATTTTGTCTTGGTTCGCTGAGCCAGTGAAGTGAAAGTCAGACTTACAAGAATGACAAAAGAATACTTTACTTTTTTTTTTTTATCAGAGATAGAAGAATCTGGTGACTATATTGTAGAAGAAAAATAAAGAAATGAGGGTGTTTAAAAAAAGAAAAAAAAAGAAATGAGGGTGTTTTAATTTGATAGGTGGGTGCATTGGTTGTGGTAGGTAGTAAAGCTTCTCCAGAACACATTTTCTTTTTTCAGTGGCAGTGTACTTATTTTTAGAATCTCATTAAACATATATATTGATAATATGTTACTAAAGACATTAAAATCATATCATATCTTACCTGCTATGATCACAGACATTGAAGTATTTTGGATTTTTTTAACTACATTAAAACTAAACGTAGCTATATACCAGTGCTTTACAGAGGTAACCCACAGTTTCCAAATTTTTCCTATTTTACCTTTTTATCAGAAATAGAATTTTAGGCCTGGAGTAGACTTTAGTCTTAATGTATACTTGTGCAAACGTGCACACACGTATACACGTATATATAAGGTGCAGGATGGTTGCTGCTTTTCACAGAGGCTGTGTAACTTGGTCATGGTCATACAGATTGTGACAGAACTATAAATGGACCCAGATCTCTTTCTGAATTTTAATCTTCTTTTGGTGATACTTTTTAGTTAGGAATATTTTTAAAAATTGCTTCAAAATTGAAGGTTTTTTTTGTTTTGTTTTGTTTTTGTTTTATAGGCCAAAGCAAGTGATAATAGGAAAAGGTAAAGTAATTAATTATATTTAGAACTGGAAAAGAATTTGCTTTCTGGTAGTTCCAGGCCATCAGGAAGTATCCATAGGGAGCATAGGGAGTCAAGGACTTCTTTTTTTTTTTTTTTTTTGAGTCAAGGACTTCTTAAAGATGATCTCCTGAATTAATTATTTTCATTGTGCTTTAAAATTGAAAATTCAGATTCACTATAGTTTTCCTCAAAAAGTTTTGAATTGATGTGAAAATTATATTTTAAAGTTAATTTGTTTCACTAAAATCATAAATTTTACCACTTGTAAATGGGGTTTTAGTTGTTAATATTCAGGGTAATTTGCCTTTAGATAATTTAATAATTAATAACTACTATATTACAATTTCAGACTGAATACTGAGCCAGAGCAGGTCTATAAAATTGATTTTTGGTGTGTAAAAGACTGGCTGTTGGTACACAGCAGGCACCTGTCATGTTCTTAATTTGCATTCTAATTTGGAATGAAGGAATGCTGAATGAAAGACATTTTGTTGCCCTCAAGTTTTTTTTGTTTTGTTTTTTTAAAGATTTTATTTATGTATTCATGAGAGACAGAGAGAGAGGCAGAGACACAGGCAGAGGGAGAAGCAGGTTCCGTGCAAGGAGCACAGTGCGGGACTTGATCCCAGATCCCGGGATCACGCCCTGAGCCCGAAGGCAGATGCTCAACCACTGAGCCACCCAGGCATCCCTCGTTGCCCTTAAGTTTTAATCAGATGTGTGGTCTAACATTTTTTTTTCTTTTAAAGGTCTCAAAATTTGTTTAGAACCTGAAATTTAAGAACTTGAGTGAATGTTTGACCTGCTGTTCATTAAATATTTTAACTACTGATATTTGTATTTTTTAGTTATTTGGCTTGATGTTATGAGAAAATAGTCTCATAAACTCCATGGTTCTCAACCCTGAGTACATATTAGAATCCTTGGGAATTTGAATAACCTCAGCGTTCATGGCTTCATCCTAAGCCAATTGATCTATTTTGCTTTAAATCCAATCACTGGTGTTTACCTGATTCTAGTTCCCAGCATCTGGAGATGGATCTGTCAGCTGAAAGGCTCCCAGAGTATATGTTTCTTAGAAGTTGGATGCCACTACTTAACTGAACACCCTCATTTGAAAATCAGAGTCTTCAGATACTCCTATTTGCTCTTCTGTAGGTCTTAGCTGTTTCTGTCTCCCATTCCTTTGATCTCTTGGACATTGAGCCCTTCCTCTGGGTGATCTTGTTTTTAGTACTCTCTTTTCTCAGATATTTCACAATTGAGTGTTTAAAGCCAACTTTGGTAAAAGTGACTTCAGGCTTCTGTCTTGCCCTATCAACGCACCTGAGTAATAGGAATTTTGCCCACTGAGGTTCTGGAATTTTGTCAGAATACTGCTGTTGGCACCAGTACTAGCCCAAGATAAGGTTGAAAGGTTTGTCTTTGGACTCCAGCTTTTCTGCTCAAATGTACCTAATTACACGTAAAAACCATTAAATCCATGTCAGATTAAGCTTGTTGAACAATTACCAATCTTCTTAGCTTAATGAAGATAAACATAAGTAGAGGGTAGTAGTAAAAATCTGAGCTGATATCTTGTGTCCTAGGTTTAAGGGATGGTGCCTAAAGTCAAGAGTTACAAGAAGAGTAAAGAGAGCATTTAAATAAAATTGGGGTCATGGACTATCCAGAGATGAACATACCTGATCCTGAAGTTGGAGTGTTCTGGCCAGAGATCTGTTCTGGCTACAGGGAAAGAAAGAGAGTACACTTGAAATCAGATTGTTTCTGGGAAGATAAACCTTTTTCTTTTGGGAATTTGTTCAAGAGTGACTTAGAGTGTTGTACCTAGAGTGTTTGGTCCTGTGAGAGTTTCTTGGGAATGAGAAGGGTTTCTCAGGATGTTTTGAAAATAAGTTTTAGGCATGAAGTCTTCTGTGGGCTGTAAATCTCAGATCCTAGACTTGATGTTATTTATTGTAGGCTTTCAAGGGAGAAAGAACCAGTTGCAGGGTTTTAAAGCTCAAAGTTCAAGGTAGCATAGGAACTAATAACCTCTCTAGTCTAATACTAAGCTCAGCATGCACTTGATAAATCCTTGACTTATTATACTTTATTGTTTTGTCTCTTAGTGGGTAGAATAGTTGGCAGAGAAGAAACGAGTTATGAGTGAGCTATATTGTATTTGTCATCTTCAAGTCTGTTTTAATTTGGAGGGACATCTTGAATATTATCAGAAATATGCCCGAGGTTTTGGGAAATCAAATCTTACAAATAGTTAGGGAAATGCTCTCTCATAATCCAAGTCTTGGACTGTAACTTGGAAAATGGCTTAACAATCGATGGCTCTCAAAAACGAAGTTCATGATATATGATCAGAAATTACCACAGTGAGGAAAAAATGGAGACCAAGATTAATGGGAGAGGTACCAGTTTATGATCTCTCAAAGGTTGTGAGAAGAATACAGTAAACCTAAGTGTAAAGGAATAATAAAGATCTATAGTGTTAGAAAAACTCCGTTAACTAACCTGAACTTTTGACAAATGCTAAGGCAAGTAAGAATTTGTAAAGATATTTTTGTAGCAAGACCACTGGCTCATTACATGGGATCAGTGACGTGACAGAATGAAAGAAGAATGATTATAACTCACTCTTCCTCTTTTTATTCATTAAATAAAATAACCTTTATACAAGAAGAAATAAGAGGAAAATAATCCCTAATAAGGGGGAAATGAAGCCCAAGATAGGTAAGGGGATTGGTGGTACAGGAGTACCCAACTACCTTGGTTGTAAGTTTGCTGCTTATGTAAGTGACCTTTTAGACATACTGAGAAATCATGCTGATAAGTAATGTTTGAATAACTGTGTAAGAGAACAGAAACTTTATAAAACTGGACATAAGCAGATTTACTTTTCCAGAAAGGAAAGGAAGAAAGTGGATTCTACCTTACAAATGTGAATTTGATAAAGCATAAGATTTTAGAATGTTATTAAAATTAATTTTTTAAATGACAGAAATAATAAACCTTAGGAGCTATTATGGATTTATTAAAACAAAGATACTAGAACAACTTCATTTCCCCTTTTTGGTAGGTTATAGTAGACAGAATAAAGGAGTGTAAAATATTGATCTTGTTAGACAAGATAGAGAAATATAGGTAGAATAGTACAGTCAGGTAGATGTGTAATTAAGTAATTATAGAATTGAAGAATTGGGATGATATTACTAATAATGTGTCACATACTGTCAGTAGACTCTTGACTTGGACCAATTCAAATAATTGTTAATGATTTGTATAAAGGCATAGTGATTTGATGATTAAATTGAAAAAGGATGTGAAATCAAGGAGGAAACTAGTAATATTAAATGATGAAGACAGAATCTAAAATAATCTCACCTGACTGAAATGAGGTGCCAAATTTGACAAAATGAATAAGGACAGATACATTTGTGTAGCATTTTCAGTTTACAAAGCTTTTTCATACCCCTTATCTTACCTGGTCAGAAGAACCCAAAGAGATAGGCAGAGCTAGTGATAATGCATTATTCCTGTTTTACAGAGCAGAAACTCCACCCTCGTGCAGGTGCAGTGTAATTGACTCAAATCACATTTTGTTTGGTATGGTGCTGCTGGCCGCAGTGATGATTTTTGTTTATTTCCTTTCCTCCTCTTCTGCCAAGAGGAATTCTAGATTTATTCTGAGAGTGATGAATATAGAATGTTTATGCCTTTCTTGGGTCTATTTTTACAACCCTAATGAGATATAATTAATATGTATTTAAAGAGTACAATTTGATAAGTTTTGATATATGTACATTTTTGGGAAACCATCACCACAATCAAAAAAAGAAGGTATTTGTAAAGTCCAGAAGTTTTGATGTGTACCTTTGTAATTCACCCCTTTTATCCTCCTTTTTCCGTCCCTCCCTCCTTCTCCGGTAACCACCAGTCCACTCTTTGTCATCATAGATTAGTTTGTGTTACCTACAGTTTCATCTAAATAGAATCATATAAATATGTTCTTTTTTGTCCTTTTCTATTCAGAAAATTATTTTAAGATTTATTGATGTTGT